TTCAAATTTCTATGGCTATGCTACCTCTCTTCAAGCTGAATTCCTTGCTTTATTGGATGGTCTTCGACTTTGCCGCGCCGCAATAATGATATTTTATCACTTGAGGTCCCCTTGGTCGATTTTTTACACATTGAAGACAATTAAAATAATGCTTATGGGCATGAATACAGGTATTGAGAATAACAGAATGGTCATATTAGATGCCGTCTCTCACCTTCCTCAAGTTCTCATTACTCTTTGTCAAATGGATTATATTAATGTTCCTATATTGCGTTTGGATTTCTAATTGTATGTGTTGGGTTTGGGCTGAGTTTGTGAAAGGGAGAATTTGTAATTTTTTTGGTTTCGGGGAATGGCGGGCTATGTCCTCTCATATTATTTTTTATTTAGTTTTTGATAATGGTTAATAAAATTTAAGGTGGCTGTCTTTTTTTCACCTAGAGTAAATTTTGGGTTAAAAAGAACACTATGAGGAAAGAAGGTACAACTATTAAAAATCATTTTATTCCTCAATTTCCAAATAAACCACATAGGAATGATCCCTCTATTGATGGGTAAAAAAATAAGGGTCAACAACCAAATTATTCAATTTGACCCATTTTTTGAGCCAATAGGAAAATCCATGATCTGCAGTAATCCTCAGGCCTAATAAGGAGGAAGCAAACCACACTAGAAAACATCACCATAACCATCTTTAAGTCTGTTTGGTACTTTATAACTACATATCCATGTAAAGTTGATGTTATTTTACGAGTTAACTTTGGGTGTTAGCCCCCAATAGCCTATTGTCACGGTTTGACATAGGTTTAGTCTTACCTATGGTTGTTGGGCATACGTTGAGTGGCATTATCGTAAATATTGTTAGTATGTTTTTTGGGAAAAGTGATATTTCTAACTAATAGGTACCCAATAGTTAAAAATACTCTTTGAGGAGGGGTGGTCAATCTCCTTGGGTGCCTGACATTTGCACTCCATAGACCAACATCCCTTGCGAGGTAGCTCTGGTTAATGGCTAGCATGGCCATTAGGGTTTTTCATGGGTACACATGCTCATGGGGATAATGCATGGACCGACACTACGCAATGCACATGAAGGGGAGGCTTTTTATGTGGTTCTAGCTCAAGTATGTCCCTACACCTTGCCAACCCCATGTCTAAGATAATCGAGCTACCATGTTTCCTATAGCGCATGAGTGTGTTCAAGGGCCAATGGTTGCCCCATACATCATCGGTACAATAGTTGCCTCACATCATTAGAACAACAGGTGTCTCACATCATCAGCATAGTGGTTGCCTCTTACATCATGGCATTCCTCCTTTGGTACATAAGAAGCGCCTCTCATATACCAACAAGAGCCATAGAGCCTTGACCATGCACCACGAGGTCATAATCTAGTGCCACTGACCTTAGTGGAGCCATCATCAGGCCGACACATGGCCCTTACACACACACATCAATTTTGTCCCAGCCACACATGGCCTGCATGCCACACAAGTTTCTTTTGCTACAAACCTAACCCATGATAGTTGGTATCAGAGCGCATCAGCCAACTACTATCGTAGTTGGTATCAAAGCACACAATCGAGCCAGTTGAAGCAGCCATTACAACAAGCAACCACTATCATGGGGTGTAGTCCCTCAGCATGCTCATTCAACAGGATTGAGAATCACACATTAGGCTTGGCAAGAGGACATAAAGCAGCGCTCATGCGGGGGTAAATGCATATGCCATCCCTTGGAAAGCATATTGTGGTTGTTTGAGTGAAGGAATGCCATGCTTCCTCACAGACATCGGTCGTTGTTCATTTAGTGAGGTGTGGGTGGTGTGCCTACATCTTGGTTCCATAATGGATGAGCAATTGTTCCATATCTTGTCAAAGGCACTGCTAAGGTAGGGGACGAGAGTCCGAAATTGGTTGGTGTTGACGGTTGATCAAGAAATATTATTGAAGTGGCAGTATTAGCACAAATGGGGTCCTTGGTTGAAGCCACAATATTTGGAATATTAGGAATGTGAGTACACTTGTCATTGGAGCATGGCGGCACAACATTGACATTGCAACAAAGAACATGCTCAACACATTAAGGCAAAACATTCGCAACATCATCAACACATCACATAGGCGAGTGCATCTTCGACAACATCATGAGTAAAATTTCCTATCACTAGCACACATTATGGTTGGATCCTTGTGGTAGAAAACATTGGAGTCCCCTCAAAGCAAAGAGGTAGCCCAAACCGGTGAGGTGAAGTGTAGTTTTGAGGGCCAAAAGAGCATAAGCCATGGCTAGATTTGAGTAACCCGAACATGGCGAGGTAAAGTCTACAAGCGAACATAGTGAAAGGGTTTTCCAATATACTATGCCAATAGTAGGAGAAGACCTATCACATCATGTTTAGTAGCAGCACTGAAAAGCTACCAAAAAGACAATCAAGCCTTGAGGTAAAGAGAACACTAAGTGGACCTCTGTGAAACAACAAACATATAACATCTTCGAGGGCCATACACACACATCAAGGGCATAGCCATTGCACGGTTTAAGTAACTTGAACACAGTGGGCGAAGTCTAGGTAGGGCAGCATGGTGAAATGGTTCTATCCCCATAAATGGACACCAACATTGGCAAGACCCGGGTTAACCGAGCAACCCTGACTGCAACAACAAGCAACTAAACTAGAGCACACATGGATGGCATGGGACATAGATGCCCATTCACAAAGGAGACATTGTTGGGGTAACACCGGATTGAGTGGGGGGCCTGTCATGGTCTAACAAAGGCTTAGCCTTACCTACGCTTGGTAGGCTTAGGTTGAGTGGTATTATCATAAATATTACTAGTATGATTTTTCGGAAAAGAGATGTTTCCTACTAGTAGACATCCAAAAGCTTAATGTACTCTTTAAGGAGGGGTGGTTGACCTCCTTGGGTGCTTGACCTTGGCACTCCATAAACCAACATCCCTTGTGGGGCAGAGGCTTTCCACGTGGGTCTGGCTCAAGCATATCCCTACACCTCGCTAGCCCCATGTCTAAGTTAATCGAACTACCCAGTTGCCCACAGCGCACGGGTGTGTTCAAGGCCCAATGGTTGCCCCATACATCATTGGCACAACAAATGCCTTACACCATCGACACAACGATTGTCTCTCACATCATGGCATTCTCCATTTGGCATGTAAGAGGTGCCTCCCATGGACCGACAAGAACCATAGAGAGCCCTAGTCATGCACTGCAATGTCATAATCTAGTGCCATTGACCTTGGTGGAGGCATCATCGGACCGGCACATAGCCCTTACAGACACATCAGGCTTGTCCTACCCGCACATGGCCTGAATGTCGCATGGGTTTCTTCTACTACAAACCTAACCCCATGATACTATGATGTTGAGAGAATTTTTACGCTGGACACAATCACCAATTCACGTCCATGTCTATGATTATGGTTAAAAGGAAATAGAGAACAATTATTATTTTACCCCACTGTATGATAATATGGCATTTCCAAAAATGTTCTCAACAGCAAAGGCTGTTGGCCCCAACAGCCAAAATTTTTCCTCATTTTATGAAGGGGTGGGGACAATGAGTATGTATAAGGTCCACTAACCTTACCATGGAGAGACGGTAGCGATAAGGATTTGATCCCATGCCTCATCAAAGCATATATATTGCCAAAACTCAAGATTCAAAGTATCAATGTGTTGATCACCACACTAACCGGATTATTTCAGCGGAGGAGTAAGTCCCACTACCACCTACTTTCGAGAGTTATTAGTGGTGTTGTACAATTCAAAACAAAGGAAAAATAGAATTATGGCTCCTATGAGTTGAGTTAGGACATTGAACCAAAAGATGTTCCTACTTATTTCTTAAAACTTGTAAAAAATAAAATTTGATTTGCATAATATGCTCAGTTCGAAAAATATGTACAGTGCAAATACATACAAAATAAAAATTGCGTGGCACACATTCGAGTACTTTGAACCTAGCCAAAGCCAGATACGGATAGAATTAAAGATGAATTGGTAGGCCACTGGTCTGGTTTTATAGTCCTGCTTTTCAAGCACAGAATAGTATGATACCTTGAGGTAGCATGCCTGCATTATTAGTATACTGGGGACCTATATTTATTAAGTTAGCTCACCCGTCACCTAATGAAAATTGAAGTTTTCTCTTTCTTTTCTTTTGGTAAGCAAATAGAGTTCAAGGTATCAAAGATAAGCTTCCCAAATAAATAAGAAGAAAGATTTTGAGTTAAATGTTATGAAAATGACTCATTTTTCCCATTTAATACAAAATTAAAAAGAAATAAAACGACTTTGATACAGGATATTGTGATGACTGATGACTGAGAGATCACCTTTGCAACTTTTGGGAATGGTAATCCGCCACTTTATTCCAATCAAAGGGTTGTCGAAGGAGATTTGACGTGAGACCGTCCTGACTCATCTTTTACTTGGAGCTTGGAACTGGAGAGTGGAGTTTGGAGCTTGGACCAAGGCATCAGTCGGTTATGACTTATGACCACCCAACCAAACCATATCAACTTATCAAGCACCTGGCCCCAGGTTCCAACGGGACCCTCCAAGCGCTTGACACGAAGTTTAGTGTACTGTGTACGAGTCTGTATACATGAATGAAGTGGACTGAACAATAACTTGTAATCGCTTCTAGCCTTTTACTATTGGTTGGCTGTAGGCCCACATGATCCATAATTCTGGATTTCACGTATCCATGTAAATCTGCGACGTGAAAACTGTAAACGAGGTATCTAGATCCTTTTGCTTTGGGGTTGTAGCACTGGTGAAAAAACAAGTTGAGAGGAAAAAGAAGGCCAAATATGAAGAAGCAGAGGAGCAAAACTCTCGCTGGCTATATTATAGGAGAATATATTAGAAAGCCAAAGTTCAAGAAAGAAAGAAATTTAAATGCAGTCAAAATGATCCCAAGATAATCCTCAAGGCCACGATTCTACTGTCTCTTGCAAAATCTAGAAGAACCCCACAATCTAAGATGATTCCAAGCACTCCCATGTGGTCTTCTTCTTCTTAATATTGCTTCACCATCTCTTCTCTATATCTACTGTTTTATGCCCTTTCCCGCTCCATTTCTCTGCTCAGCTAGTGTTCTTCATTTCTCTTTGAGGTTCTCGTTCTCCATTAAGGGAAGTCTGCTTAGTAATCTGGGTTCTAGTTTTCATCATGTGGGAGTCAGAGGATGAGTCAGTTGGAGGGAGAGAGTACACGAATGGAGTTCTCAGTTCGACAAAAAATGAAGTCGAGACCAACCAGTTTGAACGAAGAGATCACTCATGGTAATTCAGTTTAATTTTTACGCCTAAATGCATATTCCTGGATTCTGTATGCGACTTCCTTTCCTTCTTGACAGATGGAATTTCTCTGTTTTTAGGTTCGTCGCAACCGATATTCCCAGTGACCTTCTAGTTCAAGTTGGAGATGTTAATTTCCACTTACACAAGGTAGTTACTTCTCTTCTCCAATGGTTAAGCACCTGTTCTCCGCACTTTCTTGGCTTCTAAATTAATTTCTTAGGCTGATTTTATACTATGGAAGGAAAGGGTGAGTTTAAGCTTCAAAGATCAAGCTTTGAGATGATAATGATTTCTACTTCTGGGTTTTATTACTTCTTTGATCTATAGCTACTTATTTGGTCAGTGTTTCTGTTATGAAAGTATCCTCTTCTTTCTCGATGTGGAAGGCTGAACAGAATCATATATGAATTGCATGACGGGAACCTGAACAAGATAGTCATGGATGATCTTCCAGGTGGAGCAGATGCATTTGACCTAGCGGCAAAGTTCTGCTATGGGGTTCATATCAATCTAACAGCCACCAACATCTCTTGTCTGAGATGCGCTGCAGAGTATCTTGAGATGACAGAGGACTTCGAAGAAGGCAACCTCATATTCAAGACTGAAGCGTTTCTGAGTTACGTTGTCTTGTCTTCATGGAAGGACTCCATTCTAGTACTAAAAAGTAGTGAGAAGCTCTCTCCATGGGCAGAAAACCTGCAGATTGTACGTAGATGCAGCGAGTCCATTGCTTGGAAGGCGTGTGCCAACCCAAGAGGTATCAGATGGGCTTATACAGGAAAACCACCTACAAAAGTCTCCAGCCCAAAATGGAACGAGATGAAGGAATCAAGCCCCAGTACGAATCAACAGATCCCTATAGATTGGTGGTTTGAAGACGTATCGCTTCTTAGGATTGACCATTTTGTCAGGGTTGTTACTGCGATCATGGTGAAGGGAATGAGGTCCGAGTTGATTGGAGCGGCAATCATGCACTATGCATCAAAATGGCTTCCATTCTCGGAAAAAGAAGGTATTGCAGTTGCAGGTGAAGGTAGTCAAGGCAAAGAAAGTAATAACAGTAGCAGCAGCAGTAGTAGTAATAGTAGCTGGAAAGGTGGATTTCACATGTTTGCGTCAGGCACCAAAGAGGACCAGCCCAATGCTAAAATCAAAGAGCAACGTATGATCATAGAAAGCCTCATAAGCATACTTCCTTCACAGAAGGATAGCATCTCTTGCAGCTTCCTTCTTCGGCTTTTGAGAATGGCAAACATGTTAAAGGTTGCCCCCGCTCTGGTCACTGAGTTGGAGAAACGGGTGGGAATGCAATTCGAACAGGCTACTTTGTCAGACCTTCTCATTCCTTCTTACAACAAGAGCGATACCTTATACGATGTGGATCTCTTTCAGAGGCTTTTGGAGCATTTTCTGGTTCAAGAACAGATGGAACCTTCGAGCCCAAGCACATATTTTTCTGAGAAGCATTCATTTGAAGAAATGTCCAGGAGTACTTCCTCTAATGCCAATATGACAGTGGCAAGACTGGTAGACAGCTATCTTACAGAGGTTTCCAGAGACAGAAACCTCTCCCTGACAAAGTTTCAGGCCTTGGCAGAGGCCTTGCCAGAATCAGCAAGAACTTGTGATGATGGGCTGTATCGAGCAGTAGATTCCTATCTTAAGGTAATTCAAATATCTATTCCACATGATCTTATAGTCTCTGCTCTCTCTTGATCTACATCCATACAGAAATGGCAGATATGTATACATTGGTGATGTCAATAACAGATCAAATAAATGAAAATCATAAAAAATAATAACAATTGAATGCCTTGGAATTTAACATAAGAAAACATGTATTTCAGCCCCAAGATTCAACCACTAAGAATTTGTGTGAATGTTGGTCTAAATACATAGTTCTATTCATTAACTACATGAATTGGTCATGATACAGTATGCATTATGCATCTCTGCGTACATTTGTCCAATAAATGGTATATCATTGACAAACAAAAAGCCAATAACAGAATACAGAATAAAAACCTTTGAAAATTGAACAGAAGAAAACCTCACAAAATCCTCTAGTTGGTGATAACATGGACTTTAAATCAATGGAAAGATAATAATTTTGTTCACCATGACTAGAGATGATACTGGATCAGTTAGATCAGTGGAAATATTGACATGATACATGACAGTAGGATTGGTGAAGCTTTGTTTTTGATTGCACTACTTAACCTTTCACAAATTGACAGGCCCATCCAACACTCTCAGAGCATGAAAGGAAGCGGCTCTGTCGTGTGATGGATTGCCAGAAGCTTTCTATGGATGCCTGCATGCATGCTGCTCAAAATGAACGACTCCCATTGAGAGTGGTGGTACAAGTCCTCTTTGCTGAACAGGTAAAGATAAGCAATGCTATGGCAAACAGCTCCCTGAAGGAAAGTGGTGAATATCATTATCACCCTATGGTCTGGACTCAAAAATCTTTGCTTGAAGGGACCCCACTGTTCTACCAAGAGGGATGGGCAATAGCAAAGAAAGAGATCAATACACTTAAGTTTGAGCTTGAAAACATGAAGGCAAAGTACCTTGATCTTCAAAATGACATGGATAACTTGCAGACACAGTTTGAGAAGATGTCAAAACAGAAACAATCATCAGCATGGAGCAGTGGGTGGAAAAAGCTCAGCAAACTCACAAAGGTGAAAGCCTTAGAAACCCAGGATGCCGTATCTCAGATCCTAACTCCTTTCGAGCAGACAAGAAAGACATCCAGAAGGTGGAGGAATTCCATCTCCTGAATCATGGGAGGCAAGAAATATACAGATAATGGTATTGGTAACACTTATATTTGGGTCTCTAGCTACCTTCCTGTTCTTTTTTTCCCTTTTAGTTTCTATTATTTATTATTATTATTTTTTTTTTGGTGGGTGGAGGACAATTGGGTCTTTTAAGTCAAGTAGCCTTTACATCAACCATTAGTTTAAGTTGGCACGATCTGTTGCTTAAATGCGTCTTTTGAGCATGCTTTTCTTGAGCTCCTTAACATAGTTTCATGTTTAGTTTGGGGTGGCTAATGTATCCCAAATGAAACAAAGAGGATACATTGATGTTGGCTTCATTCTGTCTCTCTCATCTAACAAATGAAACTAAAAGAGCAATTGAAGGAAAATAGAATGAAAATAATGTTCATGAAAATCTGATAGTAACTGTTTCTGCAAAGAATTGACTAAATTTGTATGTGTCTAACTCTGCAATTCTCTGTTTTGGGGCAACTTTTTGGCCCCGCTCGCTTTTTGGTAAGTTATTTACCCGGGTAAATTTTTCCTGTGAAATGCTTGCAAAAGCAGAAGTAGGAAGAAGATAAGAACAACAATAAAACTCTTGACAATAGGTCTTGTCAAAGGCATTTTTCCCTTTTTCTCATCTGTAACAGGTCAAGACAGAATTAGAGGAATTTGCAATTGATGACAGTATGGACACTCATCCTTACATGGCATTAACTAACACTTAACATCAGTATGTCCTCGATTGACAGGGTAGTCAAGATTGAAGAATGAAGGATTGAAACTGCACTTTGCACAAATTCTTTTTGCACTGAGCAAGGCAAATGATGGTTACAGAGTTAATTTGTAGAGAATGGGAGGAGGTGGAGCCCCCCCCCCCCCTCCTTCCTAAAAATAACCTTGTTCTCTACTTGGTTCCACAGAAATAATTAAAATCATTTTCTAATCAGGGGTATATGTTTTCAAACTAAGTAGTGCCACAAAATTCTAATATTCCAATGGTTGTTGCTACAGTATTTCAGAATCCTACTCTCAAAATTACATGACTTTGTCCCAATATATATATAATTATATACTGATACTAAAGCTATTTATCATGGTGATCCTAAGTCTAAGAAATTAGAACTTAAAAAATAAACAAAAAAGAGTTAGGGTTGGGAGTCCAACAACGTGTGGTTAGGTTAGGGTTAGCAACACAGCCCGACTTGCACACACCTATCAATTCTAATGGCATAACCACCTAAACTCAGATTTAAGCTCAAAAGAGAATTCATACTTTGGTGGACAAATGACGTGTAAAGAAAGAGAAGACAATTTGAGAACGAGAAGCAATCGACTAGTGTCATACCACTGAAAATGAAAACAACGATGAATTGAGAATTCAGTGTATCAAAAGATTTTTGTAGAGAACAAACAAGAATTCAAGAAGTCACCGTATCAGCTAACTAGATACAAAAACCAACAAGTCACAGTGCAAAATTTCATTTGCACTGGTGTAAATGCATGGGACTGCAAGTAGGCTGAATGTAAATTCTGGTTTATACTTCAGTTTTGACCTTGTCTTGATTGCTTATGAAGAGTAAAACAATGTTTGATCCTACCTTATATGCAAGATAATGGAGGTAGGAGTAAGGGTTATTTGTTTGAGTCTGAAGTAGGAAGCAAGATGGTGGGGGAGATTTGATCCGGGAGCCTAGTATTGTCTTGTAGGAGCACTACCAATTAATGACAAATTGGCTAAAAGATCCAGGAGATTTGATCAGTCTTGCCCTCTACGTGGGATGCAAAATGAGGACCTGGATAAATCTTTTCTTGCGATTCACTTTGGCGAAACAAGTATGGTTTAGTTGTCAACTTACATTAATAATGTGTGATTAAATTAAGGCCCATTTGGTTTGCGGGAATAGGGGTCTGGAATATCAGAATCGGAATGGCCCAACTGCTTGGTTGAAAGAAATTGGAATCCCATTCCTATTCTTCATAGAATGACTTTCCTTCATTTGAGGGAATGGCCATTCCCTGCCCTCCCTTGGAAATGAAAATCCATTCCAGCTGATTCCAATTCCCATTCTGATTCCTGTCTGAACCAACCAAATAGATTATGGGAATAGATCATTCCGATTCTCATTCCAAGGGATTTTGATTCCGATTCTGATTCTGACTGCAAATTAAACTGACCCTTAATGTATCCTGTGTGGACTGACTTCGGGGAGCTGCTCCATGATAGGCCTGGCCTTGATACTAGTATTTCGGTTGAAGTTCTTGTGGTTATATGGTGTATATGGAAGGCCTGAAATAATTATCTGTTTGAGAACTTGCAGCCGGATTTCAGAAGAATTTTAATTCAGATATCTTCAATTCTGGATAGGTGCAGACATGAAGCAATGACAGATCATCGGCCTTCAAATCAGAGCTCTCCTTCCATCCCCACTTCCTCCATGTAATGCTATTGAAGCTGAGGTGATGGCACATCGTGAAGGAATCTTGTTGGCTCAATCTCTGAACCTAAGAATGGTTTTCTTTGAACGCGATTCAATGAATATAAGTTTTGATGTAGCGCGATCTGACTACTCTCTGTTGGAGGATGATCTGGCTTCCAGTCGAGCAGCGAACTAGGTGAATCTACAAGACAGAGGATCAGAGAACCTGGGGTGACTAATCCGGTGAGGTCACTCCGATGCTTAAGTTAGTAAATTGTGGTGCGACCTGAAAGCTTTGAGAGTTGGAAAGTTAGAGAGCTAAAGAGTAAAAAAATCACGCGTACCTTGTGTCATTGGGGTTGGTGCCTTTATATAGTTGAGCCCTCAAGGGTTTTGTAGATCGGTTTTGGGATTTTCCTCCTGAGGGGATCCGTTTCCGCTTTAATTGGGGAGTAACGTATCAATTTATAGAGTTTATCAATTCCACCCGATCCGGGCAGGGAGAAGATTAGGCCTGCCGTTATGCGGCGTGATCCCGTGAGGTTCGAAGTCTACTGGAGAAACTTTTGGAATCATTACGTGGCGGTTCGGGTCGGTAGCCCCAAGCTGATACTTTAGTTTTCTAGTTCCGAACTAGATTGAATGCCAAGGTGCCCCGATGCCGAGGTCACCGATTACCCGAGCTCAAACGTTGCGAACTAGGCTTACCAGACTGAGCTATCATCCCTTAATCAAGTTATGTCCACGTGTCCCCTTCTCGATAGGTCGGACAAAATCACCCTTCATTATTTAGGGACCTCACCAAATGGCTTAAGATCTTAGGTTGGATATTTCTTTTAGATCTATCAATGATCAAATTAATAGTTGGCTTTCTCACATTTTCTAGGGCCAAAAAACTCAAAGCAAAAAATTCATTGGTTGAGCTAGGGGAGTTTACATTCTATGGACCCTTTGCTCCACATTTTACATGTACTCTCTAATAACAATGTGTTATGCCAGCTTTAACAAGAGAACGAGACTTAACAACGTGATGTGGCATTCATTCCTTTTATCTCTCTATTTTCTTTTCCTCTCTTCTTTTCCCCTCTCCATTATTGTTCACCTTCTTCCTCTAGAGAACAGAGCACCCAAACAAATAACAGTAGTAACCTCTTCCTCCTCCTCCTCTCTCTCTCTCTCTATTTCTCCACCATGGCCATTGCAATTTCACTATAGCAGTGTCTTGCCACCATTGTCACAACTGAACGACAAACTAGCAATGCTTTCATCTATTTTTTCTTCTTCTTCCTCATGGTTCTCCTGTTACTTGAAGCACCTCCCACCAATCACACCTTTGTTTCTCCCTCTACATATGCACTAAAACGAAAATCATCCATGTTCTAGTTTATTGTAGGACACCCCACAGATCATGTAGATTCCATACTTGATTAATTCATTGCATGTTTTGTAATCAGAACAAAAATTAGTGAACAAGTGCAAATTGTTTCTATTTCAAACCCTAATGAGCATAAAAAGCAAATCGAGTGCCAAATCACCTTTTAAATTGGCCATTACAACTCCATTTTAGTCTACATCATCTCTAGTTAAAAACCCTTATTTTTTAAATTGCAAAATACCCAAAAATTAGGTTTAGCTTTGTTGAATGAAAGGGGGATTGTAGAGTAAAGCTGCATCTATTAATAGAAAATGCAGATATGGAAAATATTGAGAGCTAGATTGTCACTTCTCTATATAATATCTGTGTATGGACCCTTTGGTCCATGGGATGCATGGGTCCTCAAATAGAATTTTACCATGTCGTCTTAATTTTATCATTTTAAAATTATCGGGAGTAATGATAAATGGACACCAAAAAGCTTTAATTTTTAATTTTAGGTTATCGAAACTCTATCCTTAAATCTTTTCGCTCTTCCTTTCTCTTCTCCTTGCTCCCCTACCATTGCAAGACAATCAAACCAAAACCAAAGGCTTCTAAATATTGGTCTTCCTCCATTTTCTAATAGGAATTCCGAATGAATGGAATTTAATGAAGCTATAGAATGAAATATCGAAGTATATCATCTACTTTCATGGTGGCCAAGATTACTTACACAATTATCGGGTAGCTCATGCTGTCCATATTCACTAATGTAGTCTACTAATGTAAGAAGAAGATATGACTATCTAAAGTTCATCCAGAATATCTCATGTTTATAGTTCAACAATGGGCTCACATTCTATGGACCGTTTGGTCCACTGTTTACATGATCCCTTCAATAAAAACTCATGGCGTCATCTTAAAAATGTAAATGAGACTTGATGGAAGTTAAGTCATTTGGACAAGAAAATAATTTTTTTTTTCATTATGTTCTTCCTCCCAAGATAGGCCAGAAAGCTCCTCTCTCTCTCCTCTCTCCCTCTTCTTCTCTCCCCTCACATCTACCGTCCTTAAACTTCTATTGAACGAGTGTAGAAACAAAACCACACCCTCTTGCCACTTTCCAACCAAACCGATTGCCACTGCCATTGACCATTGTCAGCACCTAATTTTTGCCCGATACCTTCTTCCTACTTATTTATATCCTCTTTTGAGGCAGCAAAACTTGAAAATATAACCAAATCAACTTGAGACTTACCAATTCATTATTTTCAGCATAATCCACATGTTAAACACCCAATTAAACTACACCAATAAACTTAACCTTAGATTGATAAAAACATTGAAATTAACATCTAATGCTACATAGGCTTTAGTACTGGTCAAACATAATTACTAAACATAGGAAACTATAACTTAGTTACAAATTAAATTTTATGACCAAACTCCAAAGATCCATCGTTCATCACACTAACCTCCTCTCCAATTGCCCCGACCTATGCAATGTTGGAACCTTGACTCCATGAAATCAAATCTGACATATTCATTGCTACAAGAATAATAAGATATAATCAATTCCTAAATCCCATTACGATTATGATGATCAACCATAAAAATGCCAAGATTCCATAAAACTAAACAACTAAGATCAATAAATTCTCTTTTAGATTCGAACCTTCCACCTAACTTCTTATCTTAATTCATGCTAACATGTCAAATTTCAACTCAAAATTCCCTTGTTTAACCATTCAATCAACAAAAATTCTAATTTGATACTTATGATTAAATCACACAAGAAATTGTAACCCAAGCAACCAAACTCCTCTTGTTAACTCTAAAATACTATAAATAATCCAACCATTCAATTTTAGCATTAAATTCCTTCATTTCCTTTTAAAACAAGTAAGATTTTGTTTTAAACTTTCTCATTGGTTAATGATCCATAAGCTAAAGCCTTTATGTGAACCAAATCTTTCAGCCCACACCTCTATTAAAAAATCTGATTTTTTCATTAGATTTAGGACATTCAAAAATGTCTATCCACCAAATTTCATCCCAAGATTTTCTCATTTGACTAACCATCAAGCCAAGATTCTATTTTAATAAATCGAATTAATTAGAGGTTATCAACCATAGATTTCCATCATTTAAATCTAATTTGACTAGTTAGACCTCACTACCATGTTTAGAGACCCAAAAAACCTCAATATGTCAAATTTCATGACCTAATTCACTCATTTGACCATTAAACTAGAAAGATTTTATTTTAACACACTAGATTAATATCGCCCCTCATCTTTCCCAACTTAAGACTTCAAGAGGGTGGAGGATGATGCCAACCCTATACTTGACCTATTAAAACACCTAGACAAATTAGGATAAGTAAAATAAACTAAAAGAACGCAAAAACCCCAAGGTAACCCTTCTTGAACATAGGAAATGACATAAGGGTCATTGTATCCATTTCAAATTTACATTTTTTACTACTAAGAGGTTAAGTTCTAGCTTAACAAGACAGGATTGAAAATAACCCCATTGGACACAAGAAACCCAAGAAAAATTCATAGAAATCTTATTGATTTATTAAACCATTGGAGATCCTCCGAAAAGCTTGTCATGCAAGATCGGGTTTCTTAAGTATTTTTGCATGTTTGGTGCAAGTTTTAGACCTGATTCCTTTCCCTTTCTTTATAAATAGAGACCCAAATTGAGCCCAAAGGAAGAGGAGAGAGCCTGAAAGCATTTTCAACCCCTTATAGAGGTCACATTTGCAAGAAATCTCCAAGTCTTTAAGCTTTAAGCTCCAAATCTGCCCCACTATTTCAACTTAGTTCAGTTACGGGAAAAACATTACCAATGTTATATATGAGAGGTAAGCCTCTCACTCCATCTTCTAGATCATTAAGTTCGTAGTTCCTAAATTAAGTTTAGTTCTAGGTTGCTTGAAGTTCTAAGAACTTGGGAAATTTGCATTCCCAACTTCTTCTAGATTGGGATAAAGAAGTAGAGAGGCAAAGGTCTTAGGAATTGTTTTCCTTTTGGTGATAAATCAATGATTCAACCTTTTTGGGCCAAATGTGTAAATCCTTGATGTCATATTAAATAATAATAATAATAATAAAACTTATCATTATAATTTAAATTTTGGAAATATTACCTTTTACATCACCTATTATTTACATTCAAATATTAAAGTAAAGAAAAATGATCAAACCATTAAAGTGACTAATGGTCAATGAAACCATGGTCTTTATAACCATGCTGCTTGATTTCCTTATAGTTTTTTTCGGGATTTATTTCAAGGCAAGCTTGGTTAAAAGGGCAACCAAGGCCAACCTAGGTTGACTCTCTAGGTTAACTCAGGTAGGGTAAACCCGTAGACCCTGGAAATAGCCTAGTTTGGTATTAGTTTCAAGAATTTACAACCAAACCCTACCTAGCATATATTAAAATGAGAAGAAAAAACACTATAGTCCCAATCTATTAGAGTTCCTAATGGTATCCAATTATCTAAATTTTACCATTCTTAACCCAAACAAATATGAATATGCCCATATCCAATTAGGTTTGATACTCTTACATAAAATTATATATTGTATATATTAGTAAAATTAGCTTAAATGTTGTATTTTTACTAAATTGTTATAAATTGAAGTTTCCTTTAAGTATTTTTTAATTCATTTGTTGCATCAAAGTTATTTTTAATTCACTTTATTGATAACATGTAATATGATAATTTTTGTTTAATGTATAACATAGCTTGTAACCAATCAACTGCATAATCAAAGTGATAACCAATCATGTAGGGTTTATTAAAATTCACATGACATTTTAATTGGTCAAAACCCTTATGATATCATGTATTTCTGGCAGTATAGTTTCGTATCTAGATCTTCTACCCACACCGACCTACAGAATACTATAACATGTAACTACTAAAGGAATTGGGATTTTCTCCTTAGAGAGCACCCCCCACACGGACCTCACAATTACATTCTATCATGTAATGGGAACATCTCGCATGAATAATAATATATAAATACGGGAGATGTTCCTGATGTGCGGTTGGTATATGCTATGAGGTCGATGTGATGAGTGCTTTGTAAAAAGCATATATGCTCTCCTAACAAAGATGTTTTTAATATACAACCATAGTGTCCTGTGGATAAATATGGGTAGGATTCTTGTGGACAGGAGATTCAAGTTCTATAGTTTCTTCCTTTTTAATCTCAATTTGGAAGAAGTACAAATGCAAAATATATAGAGTGCAAAACCTTAAATCTTGTATTATTTTGTATGTATTTATACCCTATATACGTGTTAAATTTGGATCCATGATTTGATTCAATTTTGAGCTATACGATTCACAGTATCTGCCTATTTGGTTGGTACTCAACAAGTTGGGACCTTCAACAAAAACTATTCCAAATCTATTTCAACATGGTCTATGTTCATACATTTGGGTGACTCGGGAGGAATTCGAATCTGCCCCCCACCCGCTTGCGCCCTAGAAACGTCCCATAGCCTTAGAATCAGCCGCGTGTCCTCATTCTCGTGCTAAGCTAACGGGACGGCCGTTAATTCGTCCCGTTAGCTCCCATTTCACATTTTCACCCCAAAACGAGTTTCACTCCCTTCTTTTCCGCTTATACTCAGTCTCTCACTCCCCTGCCCTCTGAAACTCAGTCTGCCCCACCTCCTTCCTCGCCTGAGACTGCCAAAAAATCCGACATACGATCGTTCCGGAAGATGCACCGGAGGTATGTAATCTTCGTCCCTTTCATCTCATATACTCTTGAATCTCTTTTTCTAAGTTTTTTTTTTACTTTTTTTTTTTTTTGCAATGGAAAAAATGCAGAAGGGAAGAATCGCGGCAGATAACAGTTGCGGTTTTCTTCCTCTTTATATTTCTTTATATTTCACAACTGAATTTTTTTAATTGGGTGTTGCCTAGTTTGCAATGGAAAAAATCGATACAGTTTTTATCATATGCTTACTAGAGGACCTAAAGAGTAGTAACTTGGGAAGTGAGCCTTCTATCAGGTAATAAATATGTTGGTTTTAGATTGAAACAGGTCTGACGGTCACTGAGCATTCAACTGATGATTGGTTTATGGTATAGGCAACTTGATTTTTCCGAGTCCCCAAGGGGTTCTGAATACAGCACTGGGTCGACTGTCCAGTTCCATGCAAAAGGTGATAAAATAGAACAACCTCAAGCTGAAATATGTTCACCAGACCAGTATGGTGGTGTTGAGCCAATGCCAATTCATGCAGAAGTATAGAATAGTGGTGGCGGTTGTCAAGATGGAATTTGTTCATGTCTACTTGCAGAAATTTGTGTCCTAGGAAATTCTAGCCCATCTTCACCATCCAATTGTCTGGAAAGATTTTGTCTTATCTCTTCAGTTCACTGTCCATGTCTCCTAAGCCTTTTCGACCCTTTTCTTTACCAAAAGGCCGTTGCAAGATCTGCACCTCAAAATTGTGATTTAAAATGTTTTAGTACATTCTATTTGCCAATTTGATCTTACAATGTGTTATGCAAGGGTTATAGGCCTGAATACTCAAATTGATTTCTAGTGTGTCTGTTGAATTGCTTGATTTTTCTCTGAGTCTTCTATAAGGTATTGGTTGTTGGTATTCAGTTTTTTTGGGCAGTTCTGTTTTCGGTCTTCGATTTTCCATTTGTACATAGCATGCATTATAGAACCTTAGTCTTTTTAAGAGTAGTATTTTTAACAGAGTAATTACACATCAGTAATTTGGGAACCTCCCATACATTGTCTTAGAAAAACCGATACCTGTATCTGCCGGCGATTCTTCCCTTCTCTGTTTTTTCCATTGAAAAAAATATTAAGTTAAAAAAAAAAAACTTAGAGAAACAGATTCAATAGTAGATGAGATGAGAGGGACGGAGAATCATACCGCCAGTGTATTTTCCGAAATGATCGTCCGTCGGATTTCTTGACAGTCTCAAGCGGGGGTGGAGGTGGTGTGGACTGAGTTTGAGAGGGCAGGGGAGTGAGAGACCGAGTATGAACGAGAAATAGGGGAGTGAGTGAAACTCGTTTTGGGGTGAAATGAGAGCTAATAGGACGAACTAACAGCCGTCCCGTTAACTCATACGAGAATGAGACGTATACGTGTGGGAGGACACGCGGCTGATTCTAAGACTGTAGGACATTTTTGGGGCGCAACCTGGTCGGGGGCATATTCGAACTCGGCGCAGATGTGAATCCGACTGGATTGTGGTGAGACGTGCGGATACAGGTGTTGGAAGGTTTTCTGGTTGGGAGGAGATCCAGGAGATCCAGACTCGTACCGAAATCCGAACAGAATTTTCGCGCCTCTCCTTAATTTCACGGAATTTTATATCCGCAACGGAGGCGGGAGATGTTCCTAATTTACGGTTGGAATGTGCTGCGCGGGGTGAGCTCTGCTGGTGCACCGATCCAACGGTCCAAACACGAATCATGCTTCAATAAGCAGAGCACTCTCTCGCTCCCTCTCGTTCTCTGTTTTCTCTTCCTTCTTTTTCCCTTCAATAAAGGGGAAGGGGAAAGATGTAAGTGAGATGAAAACACAGACGGAATGAATATATACATTTTTACTTTTTTAATTATCTGATATTGTCAATTTTGGGTTTACAGGTCTTTTGCAATGGGGATGATGAATTTCTCCGATGGCAACATCTACGAGTCGCAGGAAAGTAGAACCATCGACATTCGCTATGCATTTTAAGTATCTCTATATATGTTGATTCGACTATGCAGTTCTTCTTATTTCTTCATTTTGATTGAATTTTGCATATATCTGATTGAGGTTAATCATTTCACCGAAACGATCTATATATGTTGAATTTTGTATTGGTTTTATAAAGAAAAGGTTATCTTGAAGTACTTGTGGTGTGCAGTTGGAAAATATCTCTGTGTTGGTATCGCTTGTGAGACGTTTTTGCCTTTTTCTATCCAAAGAGACTACATTTGTATCAAATTTCATTAACTTGAAGGATTCTCATGACATGTATATAAACAATTTGAGACAAGTGTCGCAGTCTCCCTTGCATGGCTTCGAAAGAAAAGCTCAGAAACTTATTTCCCTTGGTTTACTTGATTGCTCTCCAATTAGGTTATTCAAACCGTTAGTTTGTGTGAAACATTTTGAACTGATTGGATTCCTTTACAAATTGCTGTCAACGTGTCCTTTGGATGTTCTTGTTTTGATGACACTGTGAGCCTGTGAGATGCTGGATGGTTGCCTATTTCTGTTATCCATGCAGGTTATTTGCGGCATTGCTCTGTTGAGCTTGTTTCTTTGATAAGTTTTTGATCATTTGGTGCTAACTTGATGAACTGCTTTATGTTCGATTGCCTAAGGGTGGCTGCACTTACTACCTAAAATTAAGTTCCCAAATAGCTCAATTGTCCACTCTTTGTTCGACTGACTAACTTGATGAACTGCTTTATATTCAAGTGATCTGCCTGTCTGGAGGGATTTGGATGGTGAGAGGAGGGGGTCATTCTGTTCTGTTAAAATTTATTTAGTTTTGTTTTTAAACTGTGGAATGCAGCGGATGGGTTTTATGGGAGGAGTAACACCTCTGGTTTTGTAAAAGTTATATTCAAGGTTGGAGGCTTAGAAGGGTCCTTACTATTAGTGGACAAGATATAAAAATAATTGTTGGAAGCTAACCACATAAAAATGAAAAGGGACTGACGAGTATTTGGTCTTTGATGCAGCTTTAAATATTAAACCATTGATGGTTGAACTTCATCCTTGCATTTTGTGCTAAAGGTAGTTGCAAGAAGTCCATCTTTTTCTTCTTTACATTTCATGGCAAGGGAAACCACGGTTCAGGCTTCAGAAGTTCAGATAGTTTTAGTTATAAGAAACTTGTTTTTACTGATTGACTGCAGGTGCTTTCAGTTTACTAACGTCCATCTTGATCTTCAACAATGTTAAGGCTTTAAAAGAAAATGGAGAGAAATGCCTTTCAGAAAAAAAAAAAAAAAAAACATCCTCTTCAACAAGAGGATGATTTGTAGTTTTCCAAGTACAATCTTTATACCAAAATCCTATCAATGGAGCCCGATTGATAGTTTTAGTTACAATCTTTATACCACTTTCAAGAAAAGAGCCCGATTTCTCAAGGCAAGAGAACAGAGTGAGACTCAATTCTTTTCATTATGTTTGGGAAAGAAAGAATATTCTTATATAAATGCATTTAAGTTCCTTTTTATGGAATAAATAATGTAAAGAAACTTGTGGAAAACAGTTAAAAGGAAAATAAAATACAAGCTGTGAATTTTTCTGTGAATCTTTGTATGTCAAATGTAGTTCTTAACTAAACTCTCATAAAAAGTGCTAGATGGGATGGTTATCATGGGCTTAATATAGGGCACTTATACCCAGATGGTCAAGGTTTTTTGTCCATGGTTATTAGAAAGTGGAGGAAGTCCGCCTGCCGCACCGAAAAATAAAAATTGGCATTTCATGAGCCTTAGTGGTGTATCATGTTGCTTTGTCTTTTGGTTCTTAGTTGTTTAGTCCCTCTTCTTAGTATTACTAGTGTAAGAGCAAGTGATATGCACCTGTGCAAGTAAGTATTAACCATATGTGATATACGGAATTTGGATTTAACTTTTATAACCTACACGGAACCCAAGGCAAGTATCAGCTTTGCATAGTATAGATGTTGAAATGTTACTGTATCATGCTGAGCTGGGATTAGTTCATTTCTTGTTTTTGGCTTAAGATGCTTTATTATAATTTGATGATTGTTTGTCTTTGCACAATAAAATTAATTTCTTTTTGGTTTTGATTTAGGATGCTAATCAGAAGCTGCAAGTGTTTTAGAAAACAAGAGTAGAACGCAGATGTTACTATTGACTGAATCATGGTAAGAGTGGCATATTGGTTATTGATAATAAATGAATTCAAGTAGGTTGTCATTGACTTCATACTTTGAGGGTGGCCTATAGTAGATGATTACACTCTGAGACATCTTGAGTGGGTCATCTGGAAGTGGGTAATATCAAAATTTTTACTGATGTCTTCTGCATTTGAAATCCGGGCCAATCAGGAGTGGGTGGGGTTGCTAGAAATCATGCTTGAAATGCTCTGCTAAGTTACTCAAGACCAGCTACAGAAAGAACTTCTTGGAGTGCAAACCACTCATCCTCATGCGGTAGGTTTTGCAAAAAGAACATTTTTCAATCAGAATTATTCTCTGCAATATGTTAAATCCACTAAATTCTAGAATAGTGGACGATGGTTTGGTAGTCCTGAAGTTGGAGATGGGCTTGGGCTGATGTAGGACAAGTATGCCTTGGGAAGGAAAAAAACCAAGAGTTTCTTGAAAATAGGTCTGGAGGAGGAGTTAGACAATGAAGTTTGGTGGAACCTCTTAGCATAGAAAACTAAGAGGATGGTTAAATCTATCACGATGGATTGATGTTAGAGGGATGTAATAACTGTTGGTCTGTAGAGTTTAGATCTGCAAATAGTGAAGAGACATAAAAAAAGAAGAAAGAAATACAATAAAGCTACAGTTAATAGGAGAAGAAAGATACAACATTCTCAAACCATTCCAACAAAAAACTCTTTTTTTTCGGTTCTCTATTTTTTTTTTTATCTTACAAGACACAGAGTATTGCTCTGGTTACTGTTCACCCACAAAAATGCCACTAGCTTCAGCCAAAGAAAACAACATATTTCCTATAATATTATCTTGACTATTAGAATTGAAAATTAATTATAGTTAGTCTAACTTAACTATCAGGTAGGGTGCTACTGACCCTAAGCAAAATTGCGGAAATACCCCTAAAAAGAAAATATCAATATTTTAAAACATGATTAAAAAAATGTCTACAACTACTATACTGATCTTGATCTCCTCTTGATGCTCACCCCAAAGCACTTCTCTATCCTGTGGCGGTAAAAGTAGAGATGTCCTGTTGTTGGAACACTTGGAACCAATTAAAATTCATATCTATATGCAGTTCACTCTACAGTTGTTTATGTTGTGCTCCACTCTCTGTTTACCTGGTTATTTATGTTATTAAATCATTTTGTTCCAAATAGAGTCTGCTTTTCATATTATCAGTTCATTTCGTATTGATAAAGATTGTTTTCCTGTGTCTTTTATATCTTTATACATGAACCCAATGTTAATGTTATTACTTCCCAACTTACAGGCCTTACGATCTCCTAGAGCAGCGGTCTAGGATGCATGAGTTTTCTGAAGAAACTTTTCATCCATTTGAGTGTTTTCAGAGCTAAATTTCTCTATTCAAAAGGTAATTATTACTTCTTACAAATTTTTATTTGGTGGAATTTCATTTACATCCCCTGTAAAGGTTACTTTTATCATGTGTTTTACATGCACCGCATTGCTCTGTGCTAGTGGCTATAGTGATCTGTTTACCAAAAAGAAGGTTGGTAATGTTTTCTTTTGTAATATCAAGAACCAAGTGTACTAGGATCCTTGTGGGTTTAAGCCTTTTTCAGTTGGACTTCTAACATTTTACTATTTATCCTTTACTTCCATTGTTCCACAAAACCCTTAAAGAGGAGCTGACCTTTCCTTCTTTGCTGGAGGTGCAACTTGGGCGGGCTTGGGTTGTGCTTTTGTCAAAATTTGAAGAAGCCCGGCCCATAGGCCTGAGCCCGAAGAAGTGTCAAATGCTAACTCGGACTCCCGAGTTGCACCCCTATTCTTTGCAACAACAGGATTTGTTTGGAAAAATGGTCAAATAACACTGCCCTTCCCTATTTGGCAATAATGCAAATAACAAATCACAAAATTGGACACCCAAGCATTTGAATACACACCATAGGAGCACATTAAATGATAATACCCACAGGTTAGGGAGTGCATATAAATAAATGGCTCTCTCCTGCACACGGTTGTAATCTGTGATGCTTTCTATTTCTAGTAGCGGTGTAGCACACTTAGGATTGATTTTCCTCTCTTGGTAAGAGGTTTAACCTTTGTGAAATCAAGCAATGGGTAAACGTTGCTTCCAAGCATTAAAATGGGAGCGGGAATATGAAGGGTTGGCAATCTTTCAAGTGGTGGAATGCTGATAAAAATAAAAAAAGAAAAAATCTTTCAAGTGGTGGAATTTCAGATGTCTATCTCTAGCCACTTAGGACTGTTAAAGCTTCTTTTACCTCTGTCAAGGATAGCTATAAGCCTGTAACACGTCGAATATTTTGTTCAGGAATGACCTGTAAAACAATCATCTTTCTCATGAAATGCCAGAACGATGGTTAGTTTATGACTACTAGGAATTAGTGTATGTAAATTTGAAAAGAAAGGACCCTCTGAAAAAGGAGAACAGCAAGCTGCTCACCTGTGATTCACTTTCACACTTGTTCAAGTGAGTGCAAGCAGAATGTATATTTCCAGGACCCATTTAGCACCAATTTCAGTGGTTCTAGTAAGGGATATTATGTAAGAGCTATGTCAAACCCAGGTTGAAAGTATTGTATCATCTGATACATATCAAATTCTGTATGTACCTTTATAGGTTTTCTACGCCATAATATTTCACTTTGGGGTTCAGGGTTAAAGCCTTAAACGGTTGGAGCGACACGACCCGACTCCCAACCCAAACCAAACGTTACATATACTTTCTCTCTTGTCCTTCGATTTATGTTGAAGATATCCAACCCAGGGTCCCAAACAATACGTTACTCTGATACGTTGATCGATAAGAACAAACATGAAAACTGATGGGAATGAGACTGGTATTGAATCTGAATGCAAGTGGTTAGCAAGTTGGTGTTGGTATCGAACGGAGCCAGGACTTGGGACAGGTTAGGCCTGTTAGATTGCCATGGCACACGTTAATGTTGACATTTGTGGTAATCAAACAAGCAGACAACTGTTTATCTCTATTGTTGCTTTCTGAGGCCAGGGCTGTTTGGAATCAACAAACTTGGAATTCTGTTCTAGTCCTTATCCTAAGTGTAATTTTTATATGCCGTAGCTGACTCAGGGCCGGAGAGTTTGGTGCGGTCTTCCACCTACTTGGCCCCCTCTTTACGTGGCAACTGTGTTCCTACTTGGTGATGGCCACGTGTCAGATAGACCTCCTTGTCATACCTTTATTACTATGCAATAATTAAAAATTAAGGTTCCATTCACCTAGGAAACACTGAAACAGTAAGGGGTGAACTGATTTGGCCCTGAAAGTCTGAAACCGATTTCGAGCCAACATACAGAGAACTCCTTCCAGAGTATTCCTCACAAAGATAACTTTGACGAGGTGTTAATAGACTTCATGGTTTTCCCAGACTTCTCACAGTACTATAGATTTTTCATTAAAGAAAACTTATTATATTGCTTTCAGAGTGGGACCTCGTGAAAATCTGAATTAATAAAGAAATTAAAGAGGAAAAGGAAACAGCTTGGGTAGAAAAACGAAATCCGGATTACTTGTTAACCCATCTTCCCGACCTTCAATCATCTCTCCTCTCCCACACACACATATATGATGAAACGATGACAAGCCAAGGAGCCGTTGTTGCACCACCATCAACCGGCACAGAGTGTTGCATGTGTGGAGACTATGGACTATCTGCTGAGCTCTTTCGTTGCAGGGATTGTCAGTTCAGATTTCAGCACAGGTAAGGAAAAGAAGCCCCCCCGAATGGAAATTATCAGAAAAAGGCATATCTTTCTTGATCGCAGCCCTTCACCTCTTGATACGTGAATGTTGCAGATACTGTAGTAATCTCTATCCAAAAGCGGAGTCGTACCGAGTCTGCAACTGGTGTCTGAAGAAAGGAGTCAACACCCAGAATCTGCCTCTTCCATCATCGAGCAACTGCAGTGAGAATGATGACAAGAACGCAAGGAACAACATCGGGGATGAAGCAATGGCTCCGAAGGTCCAAAGAGGCAGTCTCCAATTGCATCTCAGCAGCCCCATGAAGAAACTGAAGTCGCCGGACAAATCATCTTCGGCAAGGAAGAAGATCATCCCAAGAGGTATCTTGGAGGAAAGATATCAAAGGATGAAACAGGAGGAAATTCCAAACACGGGGGCAACCAGACAGATTTTTAGAGGTAAGATTCGAAGATATAAGCTCTTGGATGAGTTTTCTAGTTGACTAGTTTTGACTCTGGCGGACATATCTCATATCCGGATCTCTACTCTATCTATGTTCATGCACATAGTTCTTATGATGTAAATGATTGTCGAAACTTGAATCTAACGAATTTGCATGGGTTATTCGGCTCCGCTTCGCTTAAATTTCATACTGTTTCTTTCTTGGGTTTATATAAATTGAGTTGTTTTCCTTTTCATCTTCATATTCAAGGGAACTGTCTGTGCGGCAGAACCGGTGATGGATCCTTTGTCCAGTCAGGTAGGTTGTTAAAATCGTGAGTTGGAACTTCAATTTCGGGGATTGACCGGGTGATAGACCAGGGTTCTGCACAACATTAATCCCCATTAGACCCCCATATAAAGTACTGTCTGACCAAACAGTTGAACTCGAAGGAAGATAGCATTGGATGTGTTCCTCAGAGAAAAATAGATGGATGCTGCTGAACCCTGGTCAGCGTTGGTTGCTCGACAGATGACGGTAGATAAACGAGTCAGCGTTGCCAATGGAAAGTATGTGAATAAAAATTGTTTTTTATTTTTTAGGGGGAAATAGATAAACTCATCTCGAAAGCAACACACCGCTCAACGAGATGATCCGCCTTGTATAGTTAGTTGAGTAGATAGGCCACGACTGTCTCAATTTTTTCCTTTATATTTCTTTATGGGCAAGTGGGGGTGAGACAGCGGGGAAACAGATCTGAACCGAGCGAGGGCCCCTATTGCTTAAAAGACTCAGTTTAGTTTGGAAGGAGTACAAATATAAACACGTAGAGTGTAAATCCTTGTATTTTATATCATTTTGTATACATATTTGTATTTACACTTTCCATTATGAGCGTAAGCAATTTATTAGCTTGCACGGTGGCACCCTCATTTGGCCATCCCTGCGCGACTAGGTAGGCCGCTTAATCGATTCTCACTTGAATCGGGATACGCTGATAGCTTTCTAGTAAAAGCTTATTAACACGCTTTAAACACGGAAATTCAGCAGCAGCATATCCAAAATATTTCCCTATGAATGACAATGTACAGCTATCTACCAGAAAAAGTTACAGGAGATGTTGGAAGGTTTGGTAGGTTTGGATCTGTTGATGCTTTCTTCTCTAAGATATTTTCAATGTGCGGCTGTATGTTATGAGGAGTTCGGCTTTAGTTCAGGCACCTTAGTCAGGGCACCGTTTGCGCAATTGAAGGATGCGCCCAATTCATGTAAACGGTTGAAGCATGCAAGGGATGTTTCATGCCGTTAGTTAAGCAAAACCTATTTTTTGATTATTCATTCTCTTCTCCCACTCTTTCCATTCACTCGGTGGCAGCTTAACATCCATTACCACCGGCGACAAACAACCATCACCGGTGGATGGATCAACCTCAGGAAGCCTTTCGCAGGTGGAATTTGATGCTTGCGTTGCCACCGAAGACTTGGCACAGGTGGGTGCTGACATCTAGTGAGTTGATGACAATGAGTGAAGTCAAGTCGATGACAGTGAGTAAAGTCAGGTACTGTAGGATTGAGTCTAGAGGGATGGTCTTGGGGCAGTGGGCTGGTGGTGCAGAGAGTTGTCAGTGAGTGATATGAGTGTCATCGGCTAACAACTCTGTTGCAGTGGAATTGGAAAAATACCCTAATATAAGATGGGAGACCAGAAGAGGAAACGAGGTTGAAAGCCCAAGAAACCAACTGTTGAAACTATGGATCTCCAAATGAACAATACCAGAGACTTCATCGGCTAACATCAATGACATTTTTTTCGTCAGCAATGTTAAAATCGAAGAGGTCGATCCTCCCACTACCCACAAGGGACGGGTTTGACCTCGCAAAGCTAAAAAGCATGCCGAGAAAGCTGATACAAGTGTCGTCGCTTCTCCAATGAGAAAGACTTCTTGGACGGTCAAGAATAATGGAGAGTGTGTCATGCTGTCTCTGTCACTAGAGATCTTGCAAGACATAATTCGGTTATTGAGCCACCACCCCGATGGGAAAATGTAGTCAAGGTCGTCCATTCCATAGATGTGGTTGTTAAGGTGTTTCGTGTTCACACAGAGCCCAATTTCTCACTCCCATGGCAGCAGAAGAGGCAGTATAGTTCCAATAGTAGTGGCTTCATTATTAGTGGGTGGAGGGTATTGACGAATGTGCATTCTGTAGAGCATCACACTCAGGTGAAGCTAAAAAAATGGGGGTTTGACACCTAGTATTTGGTGATAGTGTTTAGCCATTGGGATCGAGGAGTAGAACTTTGCATGTAAATAGTTGCTAATCGGGGGCAAGCATCTGGGTGCAGAGACCCTGCCAAACTGCTCTGATGCTTTTGCAAGTGGAACTTGATGCTTGCGTTGCTGCCAAAGACTTGGCACAGGTAGGTGCTGACATCTAGTGAGTCTATGCCAGTGAGTGAAGTCAGGTGCTGTAGGATTGAGTCTAGAGGGATGGTCTTGGGGCGGTGGGTTGGCGGTGCACCACTGGCAACAAAAGGCCCAATTTGCTTTTTCTCCTTGTCGATGAGGCCGCCACTGTGGCAAGAGTCTGAGATGATGGTGAAGCTTGCTCCCTTTGGCAAGCGATTCACAAGGTGTCAAAAATTGACATCTGTTGAGGAGTTGCAGTTAGTCATGTTTGCCACCGTCGGGTAGATGGGGGGAGAGAGAGGGATAAGAGGCCTCCGGTAAATCGTTGGTTTTAAGGAGAATTTGGATTAGCTGAATTCTCTCCCCCATCCACCCGGTGGTGACTTAACTTTCTAGACTGACGATAATGACAGAGGAGCAGGGTAAATCTCAACTAAGGTGAATCAGATCAGAAAATGGGAGGGGGTTGTCGTTGTTAACTCCCGTTGCTACCGCTGGTCCCGATCGTATTTCGGTCTGGGTTCACTGCTTGCTGCTGCTGTGTTTCGTCTTGAACAAGGGAATGTTCCAGATCTCGGAAGTGACGAAACAGAGAATAGAGAGAGAGAGATGAGAGGATGAGAGGCTAGAGGTGGAGGTCTGAAATAGGAGAGAATCCACTGCTGGTTCACTGCCGCTGTCAAGGGAGAGGAGAGGACGTTGTTAAGTAACGGCATGAAGCATCCTCACATGCTTCAACCGTTTACACAACGTGTGGTGCATCCTCCAATAGCGCGAACGGTGCCTTAACTGAGGTTGCTTGGACTGAAGCCGAACTCGTTCGAAAGGAGTTTGCAATGACTGAAGCCGATCTCAAGCTTTGGTGGGATAATTGCATTAAAAGCATGTTCACATGATTCTAAGTATCTGATCTGGGCTTATCTCTCAAACTCCCTCTATGCTTACTTTGGTGGAATTCAATTGCAGGTCTCAACAACAACCCTATAGGCCTAGTCTTTAGTGGCAAGCTAGCTGGTTTATTCATTTTCTTTGAATGGCAAGCTAATTGGCATCCTCATTTTCTTTTGAGTTGGCAATCATAAATGACAATTTTACATTATTATGTTGTCAACTTGTTAATTCCTTCTACATTTAAATTAGGAAAAATTCTCTAGGACCCTGTACTTTGGGCCTAGAGTCACTTTGGTTCCCAAACTTTAAAATGCAATAATTCAGTATCCAATCTTTTAAAACATAACAATCCAGTAGTTACCATTAACTAACTATTAACCGGTCATTAAGTGGCATTTGAAAAAGACACAAATACCCTTCAAATGTTATTAATTTTCTTTATCAACCATCTAAAATTTAACAAAAACTTAACAATCCCAAATCCTTGCCTTTTCCATTCAAGAAAGTTGGGGTCACGTTTGAGTGGACATTCTGGTGACCCCAACTTTCTTGAATAGAAGAGGCAAGGATCTGAAACTATTAATTTTTTTGTCAATGTTTGGATGGTTGACAAAGAAAATTAGATGACACTCAAAGGGCATTTTTGTCTTTTTCAAATGCCATTTAACGGCTGGTTAATAGCTAATTAACAGCAGGTACTGGATTGTTTTATTTTAAAAGTTCGGGTATTGCATTGTCGCATTTTAAAGTTTGGGGACCAAAGTGGCACTAGGTCCAAAGTATAGGGTACTAATCGGGAATTTTCACTTTAAATTATGAATTAACCTCATTTATAATTATTTGGCCTAGTAACCTCTGGGGCGTGGTTCTTGGGTCTAGCCTAAAGTAATCGGCTTACTGCCTTGATAATTAAGCTGTAAAAAGGATTGGGTCGAATTCAAATCAGGTATATATGAATCAGATCTGAAGATCCGATGGTATTTCATAGATGGTGATTCTAATCTGAGTCCAATCTTTTGTAATATCAAGGACCAAGTGTATTAGGGTCCTCGTGGGTTTAAGCCTTTTTCAGTTGGACTTCTAACATTTTACTATTTAACCTTTTCTTCCATTGGTCCACAAAACTCTTAAAGAGGAGCTGACCTTTCCTTCTTTGCTAGAGGTGCAACTTTGGCGGGCTTGGGTTGTTCTTTTGTTAAAATTTGAATAAGCCCAGCCCATAGGCCCGAGCCTGATGAAGTGTCAAATGCTAACTCGGATTCCCGAGTTGCACCCTTATTCTTTGCAACAACAGGATCTGTTTGGAAAAATGGTCAAATAACACTACCCTTCCCTATTTGGCAATAATGCAAATAACAAATCACAAAATTGGACACCCAAAGAATTGAATACACACCGTTAGTTAAGCAAAATCCATTTTTCGATTATTCGTTCTCTTCTCCCTCTCCCCTCATCCACCCGACGACAACTTAACATCTATTACCGCTGGCGACAAACAACCATCATCTGCGGATGGATCAACCTCAGGGAGAGGTTGCTGCTTGAAGCCTTTTGCAGGTGGAACTTGATGCTTGCGTTGCTGTCAAAGACTTGGCACAAGTGGGTGTCGACGTCTAGTGAGTCAATGCCGGTGAATGAAGCCAGGTGCTGCAGGATTAAGTCTAGAGGGATGGTCTTGGGGCGGTGGGCTGGCGGTGCAGAGAGTTGTTGGTGAGTGAATACATGTGTCGTCGGCTAACAACTCTCTATTGCAATGGAACTGGAAAAATACCCTAATATAAGATGGGAGACCAAAAGAGGAAACGAGGTCGAAAGCCCAAGAAACCAGCTGTTGAAACTATATATGGACCTCCAAATGAAGAATAGCGAAGTCACTTCATTGAGCCACCACCCCGATTGGGAAAATGTAGTCAAGGTCGTCCCTTCCATGGATGCGGTTGTTAAGGTGTTTTGTGTT